TGTCTCTGCGACACAGGAGTATAATGAGGCTGTCTTCATCGGTCCTCATATTCCTTATGATTTGCTTCGAAATCCTAGAGTTGTAAAAATAAGATCGGGTCGGCGCGTAGAGAGGAATATATGAGACAAATATATGAGGCATTCAACAAAGTATCTTCTTCGGTTACTAACATTTAGCCATCGTAGCCTGTTGTAGAACGGCGTAATATGTTCGTCTCTCTTTGAATGTTAAAGATGAACCTTACACAGGCATTAATTGCTCTGTGAAGGCACAGAGATACTCTCGGAGAAACGGATTATTAAATTTACAATTTGTCCGTCTGATTTATCTCGGTTTAATCTACTGACTTTGTCAGTCACGGGGGAACAATCATTATGCATTCGAACGCGAGAGTTTGCAATTATAATCATATTCTTCAATTTTCAATATAAACGTTGCTTAATGGCGGTGAAATGATTCGGTCGACAAAAACCGACCGTCATCGTGTAAATATACATGAAAAATATCGCGTATTCGCGGTTTAAAATTGTAATTCCCGTCGTCGGGACGCCGAATCGGAAATGCGTTTTATTATAGCGCGCCATTAGAATGCGATCATCGCTCGTGAGGCTATACGTGCGCTTCGTGTTAGGCAAAATTAATAATCGGCCACTGTTTCAAGGGCTTCGACGAGCAAACGGGCGTAATAAATACTGGAAGCCGGAAAAGCGCAATTACGCGCGGCACCTGCACTATTTGGCTTTTAAACCGACGTTATATCGAGAGGGTGGGAAGAAGAGAGGGAGAGAGGGATGCGCTATGTATTTAATATTATATCTTTGTTACAAAGCTTTATGTCACGCACAACGCGCGAATCTGTCGCGTTATCCAATATCTCTATACGAACGAGCGAATCAAAATTGTTTTTTTTTTTTTTTTTTTTTTTTTTTTTCATTATTATTTATTAATAGAGGCGCAACTTTATAAAACGTGAATCCGAAGGTAATTTTCGAGTAAACGGATTCACAGAAAGCAAATGATATAATTCAAATTAAAGAAAAGAATTTAAACTTCAACTTTTTGGTACTTAAAAGACAGATTAATTTAAACAGATTACGAACACACACACACACTTCTGACGACAAGATAATATAAAAGAGATTTTCGTTCCTTAAGTTCTCCTCGTTGATCCTCCCAGTCTCTTTCAACCCCGTCAGTGGTTTCTCTTCTTAATGCGGGACCAGCGATCTCGCGCCATCTCTCCGCGATCTACTATCGCCGCAATTTGTGTCTTGTCCGTGAGCGTCTATTTGTCTGTGTGTGTGTGAAGATCAGCCGACTTTGTGAACCACCCCCGTACGTGTGTGAGACGAGGTAATAAAAATATTACGAGGTCCTCTAATCTTTCTCGTATAATAGTATCCATAATTCCTCGGCGCGCTGTGGAGTCATGATCGTACCTCACTCGCCCTCCTCATTCATCCTCCACAGATCTTCCCCGCACATGGCCGCGACGACCGTACTCGATCGTTTCCCGATCTTCTCTCTTCTCACGCCGTTCTTCGCCGTCTCATCTATCGACGGCAGGCATAAAGGAAAGCGACGATAAGTTTTAACGTTGCCGTCGCTTCCCTCGATTATCTTTTTCGGACGATCTCTCTGTCACTTTCCCCTCTCCCCCCCCCCCGTACTGCCAATCCGAGGAGCCTTTCCATTTTCACGCTTTCTCCGCAAATTAAAGTCTCTCGTTTACGACGAATCGATCAGCGACACGGTCGCATTCCCGACGATGTGGCGCGACGACCGTTATTCGTCGAAACGAGGGAGAGCAACATCAATCGCACCTCATCAAGCCGGTGCTTAATTTTCACAACGTGCTTAGTTCTCGGAGAATGACGACTCATTACACAAACCATATATGTATATAATACGTAATAGATTCCAATGAAATAACGTATGACTACTTGCAAAGCTATACTACTCGTGCCGCGCGAGAATTTTTTGTAATCTCTTGCGGCGAAAGAAAGCAACACGCCGCGAAGGACGACGCTTTCGAAGCTACGAATCTGTGCCGCTGGCGGAAAACTCTATTACGTCGCATGAGGATTTTTGTAATCTCTTACGCTAGCAGTATACGCGGAAATATTGCAATCGTTGCGCTGTTGCGTGCGCGTTTAAAGCAGTTTCAGCCAAATGGACTTGCGTTTCAATTTTCGATTATTATTTCCCCAACTTCTATTCCGTTTCCAACCGCCCGCGATTCCCCGCGCTTCGTATCGAACGCGAGGGAAACGTCTGATTAAATTGGCGTTGGGGTACGTGTTCGATATGCGTTTTCGTCAATACCGACGCGGCATTAAGCTTCAGAGAAATTGGTTCATATTTAGATCTGGCGTGTTTCGCTTCCCCTCTCTTCTCCGAGTTGAATGCTTCGAATTGCGAATGTAGGCTTGAATGCGGAACACGCGCGCACACTTTTCACCGTGGCGCGAGACGTACGTAAGATGCGGGCGAATATACGGGTAATACGGGCACGCGGCTGGGCGCATCTGTATCGCTGTGTAAAAATTTTATTAGTAAAAATCATTCGACGCCACGAACACACGCGGAAATACGTGGCGTAAATATTCAAGTGAAAGAATATTTATTGCGCCACGTTTTGTTTCACCTTATACGGAAAAGTGCCGTGGAAAGAAAGATGTTTTAATAAAAGGTTCTAATCGTCAGACACACGAAGTCGATAATGCAAAGAAAGTCGGAGACGGAAGAGAAAACAGCTGCGATATTTTGGCGCATATCAAACGAAAGAAAAGTCATAAATCCGGTCTGAGATACTTTGGTTTTGCAAATTCTCCCCGCGATACTACATTCGCTTTTATATATGCGTGCGTTGCACGTTGGAAAGTCTAAAAATAGGGATACCGCGCGCAGTCACGAAGCGACCTTAAAGATAGAGAGAGAGAAAGAATACGACAAGAGTGACGGAGAACGGGGGTAAGAAGGAGAAGGGCGGAGGATGAAACTTGTACTCGTGGGAATCCGAAATCACGTCCTTAATTTCCATAAAAGAGTGCAAGGACTCCTCTCGCCGCTCTTCCGCCCTTCTCGCGCCCGCCACTTCAATCGAGAACACGTCACGTGGCTTGGCGCGCGATCCTCTCTTCTCTTCCACCTTCTTTATCCACCCTTCCTTTTCCCCACCTCTCAAAGAAGCTTTGAGCACTCTCCCAAGCATATCTCCCCGCATATCCTCTTACCCTTTCGCCGCATACTATGCGGAGCCAGCTACTCAGCACATTCTCGGCAAACCGCCTGTCCCTTAAATTCGTTGCATTCAGCCTAAACAGGCTGACACACGCGAATACGAGGTTCGGCAGCGTCGCTGCGAGAGAAAAATCGCTCGCGCAGTAGCGAATTCGCGAACGAAACAAGCAAACTTAGCGAGAGCGCGCACGAAAAATTTCCGAAAAAAAAGAAACAAAAATTCACCGACGATGTAAATGTATAAAAACACAGCGAGAGCGAAATCTTTAATGTGTTTTGTTACGAGCTAGTTTTGAACTTGATAAATTTCAACGTTCAAACTACTCCGCGGCAAATTTTTAGGAGAAGTCCACACGGCAAACTTCCCCGCATAAATGACTATTTAAGCGACGTACATAAATAATTGCGTTATTCGCACTCGATCTCTCTCGGAGCGGCGGAGTGGGGCGGCAATTTTGAGTGAAAATTACATACTTGGTGACCTCATTAAGACGTATATTGTATGCGGATCGTGATTAAATTGCAATAAAGTCACCGTCGCGCGGACGCGGAAGTGTGCGCGACGGCGAAGACTGTGTCGCGTTTTGACGGGGGCAATCAGTTTCCGCTCGCGTATATAAATTATTCCGCAAATTGATAAAATAGAATCCACTTACCTGCGTCCCGGGAGGGAAGAGGCGTTCTCGCGAAAGTTGCTGCTGGGAGATAATTAATTAAGGATGAAGCGTGGTCCCGCAGGCCGAAGAGGGGGGAGAGATGGAGGAGGGCATGAACTTCTCGAGGCCGGTGTTCAACCCAGTTTTGTCCCGGATAATTTGTCAGCGTGCTCGAATTTTTGGATCGGGCACCGTCCTCTCCTTATCCTACCCCCTCTCCTGCCCCCCCCTCAATGCTCGAGTGCCGCGAAACTTTCACGAGCGTCGTTGCGAACTTTACCTTACCCTTGACGCACGTCGGAGAAGAAATTTCTAATGTCTAACTTTGAGAGAGGCGTACACCGAGCCAAACTTTCTCACGAGCGGCTTCGTAGATTAGCGAGTTATTGGAATTTATTAATTTACACGGTCGATAATCGCATTAACACCGCGTAACATCGATGTGAATAATGTAAATTATGCAAATACAGAGAGAACCGTCGCGATCGAATTCTAGGCGATACGAGAGTACGTAAAGTAGAAAAAGAAGAGGAAGGTGTGTGTGTGTGTGTGTGTGTGTGTAATTAACGAAATGAGATACTACGATCGGTGTGGATCTATAAAGCGGAAGACAAAGACGGTGAGGGAGAAACACACAGCGAGATCGCCGTTGCTGTACAATATAACGTCGCCTTTATTGTTATCGTTTACTCATTAACCACAATCATTGAACGTTCACTTTTTTTTTTTCATATAATACAATTTTTTTTTTTTTTTTATCCGCTATACACACGCTTGTTCTCCCTAAGAGTTTTCGTTCTTTCACTGCTTAAACGTCTAGTTTAGGTAATGTCTGTTTCGTGTACACATTTTCCCCGGTGTGTATGTGTGTTTTATATACAAAAGCGCCGCGGCGGATTATTCGTCCATCGGCTAAGCTAACGGGGGAAGAGCCCGAGCATTCCCTTCCGCGCGGTTGATCTACCACATGACTTCATCCTAATCTCCTCCTCTTCCGAACCATTCCTTCTTTATTATGCTACTCTTCTCTATCCCGGAGCTATTACGAAATTGCTCTTCCTCCCCCCTCACTCCCACCCCACCCTTCGCAACCACCACCGGCACCACCGCCGATACCACGGCTATTTCTTCTTCTCTATCTTCTCCCGAGATCCATCACGATCGTCTCGTTTTCTTCCCGCGCTTCCGCTTCATTTCCCCCATCCCATCTTCCCTTTCCCTCGGTTTAACGTCGGTTTTCGCCTTTACATCGTTCGCCGTGTTGTATCGCCATTGGCCAGCGAATAATTGACAAAGAACCTGTCAAATGATCTAACGGCCGATTTACAAAACTCGGGATTAATCATCAAAGCGGTCGTTTTTATTCTCTCAACTTGATTGATTTGTTTTTTTTTTTTTTTTTTTTTTTTTTTTTTTTTTTTTTTTTTTTTGTATTTTATTTTGTTTTTTTTCTTTTACGCGCGAAAACAGAGCGATCGTCTGTGCAATTATCAGCGATGGACACATGGGCTTTTTTTTTTTTTTTTAAAAAAAGTTTTCTTACTTTAAAGAGCAACGCGCCTATCTTTTTCGCTACATATAGGAATCATCATTCGTCGGCTGAAAGCGCTATTGTCCATTTTTTACAAAATTACGTCGCAGTTGCCTTTCCTGCGTGACAACATTACTTCTCTGCGCACCTCCTCCCATCTGATCATAATGATAACTGGTTACAATTTTCAACGCGCAGATGTTACAAACGTTAATTAATTAAGATCTAAACGCAAAACTCTCGTATCCCACAGCAAGACACTTAAAGCTCCTTTGACATCACTGTCGTGTGATCGCGAGGAATTACATTTAATGCTGTAGCAACACGTGACTCTGAGACTTTGCTACTCCGAGAAGAATAAAACAAACTTTTTGATTTACAACGTGACAAACTTATCTACAAATTAAACATACATCTTCTTTTTTTTTTTTTTTTTTTATAACACACGGTAAGTACGTTTGTTTCGTTTCAAGAAACGTAGGAAACGCGCTACGGTTTATTTTGCGTCGAGATTTACAACAATTCAACATTTTTTGTTTCTTTTTTTGTTTTTTACGTCCTTCGCACACAGCCACGACAAAAATCTTGCCGTTAGGAATTAGCTCTTTCTCTTACTTCTCGTCACTCTTCTTCTCTGTATTATTATTACGTTACACAAAAACTCGTTCCGCACTTTGAGAAATAGTCTTCTTTCGTGGTCCTGTCGCAGGATGCCCCCGGAGTCTCCTCAGGCGCCGTCCCGCCACGTGTTGGCTGGAAGGAAAAAGTCATCTTTTCAAATTCTCATCGAGATGATTCCTTCATGGTGTGGCGTAAACTTTAGGGGCTTCTAGAGCCTGGCTAACATCGTGTGTTACCTCTATAATGCATGTCCTGGGCCATCGACGGACACTTGGCGTTTCCTCGCTGCCGAAGTAAAACACAGAAAACACACGCCTGAGTTTGCGAGCACATGAGAAAATATCAGCGACAAGATAGATTCTTCACGATCAACCGAAGGAATTTATTGAAGATTTATCTCCAATGGATTTTCAACAAGTGCGTGCTGTTTTCAATTTTTAATCTATTTTGTGGAACGATATTCGTGTTTATAACTACCACACACATAGTCAAAGATCAATACGATTGCGCTAGATGTACGTGCAAATTAACATTTTTAAATCTGTAAATTAATACAGTTGGAAATTCGAATTTATTTCAGTTCGAAAATTCACATTCGATGCTTAATTTTCTCCATATATATATATTTAATTATCCATTTGTCTTTGTATAAAATGAAATTAAAAAAGAAAAAAAATCAAAACCTTCGTGTGAAAAAATTTTGCCAACTTGAAATTTATTGCGAAATAAGAGGCGAACGTGTGTTTCGTCTCACTTTATATACGCACTGAAACAATTCTACAAATAATCTTATCTGGATTGTATGCTAGAAACCACTATCGTTTAATGGATACGCGATATCACATTTACAGCGGCATACCAATTACGTAATTGAACCCGCGTTCTTCACACGAAGTATCAAATGACAGAATCACAGTGTTACATTACCTTCGCAAAATCGATATTTGTTCGCACGGTTCTGTAATGAAGATCCTGCAGCGGTCTGGAATTGTTACCGAGAGGCGCTTTCGGTGTGACGGCGGAGCCCTGCATTAATTTCCTTAGGGCGTACAGCTAATAACAGAAATAGAGAGAGTACCGCCGTAAGAGAGAGAGAGAGAGAAAGAGAGAGAGAGAGAGAAGAGAATAACGTCGATTTTATCCGACGGTATCGACAAAACTATCTACAAGCCGGTTCTATCGACCAAATTGCCACTTTCGGCGATTCAAATTATAATTTTGGTACACGCGAGATTCTCGAGTCGGATTCGAGGGTGTTGTACGCGCGTAATCCATCAAAAGAATCGATTTTATTTCTTTTTCTTTTGCACAATCATAGAGCGTATCTTCGATTACGTCGATCTCATATTTACCTCCCGTGCCGTGATGTAAATCGGTTTGTTGAGTATCAACCACACCGCCGTCTCCCAACAACCGGGATGCGTCGTGCTGCCCTCGTAAGTCATATAGGCGGTGGTGTCCGGAAGAAGACTTTTCAGAGACAGATATCGAACGGGTGCGGTGTCTCCTGAAAAGATATGTAAACACACACGATAAACATTAAGAAAGAAGCGCGCGTTTCTGAATTTCGAGAAACAATGCGTCTTTTTAATTTTCTCGCGATACATAAAATTTTCATCCGTTCAACGCGCGCGAAGTAATAATTTTAATAATATCGCGAGTGTCCGAGATATATATTGGATTTTGGTTTTTTTTTTTTTGTTTTTTTTTTTTTTTTTAATCAAGTCGATAATACGCTCTTAAAACGCTCGAGGCTTTTTCAGATCTAAATGGCTTTAAAAGTTTCAATAGACATTAAGATTTCTGATATCACACAAAAGAGCTCATTTCACACGAATTCGAAGATTAAGAGACTGAGATTGCGCAAAGTGAAAAATGAAGAAACAGTGTTTCAATGCAATTTTTATCGCGCGCGCCCCTACACACACACACACACGTACACACACGCCTTCTGCATTATGTAGAGAACCGATAAACGGCGCGAAACATAAGGCGCTGGGTAAATTCGCGTAGCAGGAGGCGCGAATTATGGATGACGATCGCGGGATGTGAGACATCGAGATATTCTCGGGTCGAGGAGATATTTGACGTGTCAAGCGTGTGATGTACGGGTGGGAGAGCAACAACCGGTGCGAGTCGCATGCGAGGCGATGAATTATTCCGCGAGTTTTCGTTTTCATACACGCTTTCTCTCTGTCCTTTGACACTTGACTCTCTTACACTGTACCGGTCACGAAAATTCAACAACGAGACGAATCGTTGCCGCAGCTGCACGTAACACACACACACACACACACACGCCGGTGCGCGACTACCAGCGTTTTCTATAAATTTCACGATTACCTCGGCGCGAGCCCTCGTACACTTTTAACAGACATGTGTGGATTATAGAAGGTCGTAAAGCGTAAAAGGCGTCACTTCCTGCATTCGTCGTTCCCGATACAAGTTTCTTTCGCTTCGACGGGCATCCGACGACGGAGCAAATTGGTTCGCGATACTCGAACGAGGCTGTTCTCGCGGAAACGCCGGAAAAGCGGCGGAATTATTATTTGCGATACTCGTTCGCGTCGCGCGCGAATCCACCGTGCACACACACACACATACACACACACCTTTTGATCCTTCAGCTCGTCCTGGCAACGAGCGAGATAGGAAAAAAAAATGACGGTACATGAATCCCGAGGGAAAACGAACGAGAAAGAGGCCTCGGTAATGATTGACGCTGTGCAAACAACATAAATCGCGCGGCACAAAGTGCGCGATACATATATTTATGTACAATTTGCACTCGACCGGTCTGTGTGCACGCGCGGAAAAACGCGCGCGGAGTGTGTGTCCCGCGTAATTATAAAATAATTTCGATCGATAAACGCTTATATTTAAACGACAAACTTCGATTGCTGTTTTTCCAGCGATAAACTGGATTTGGAACGTGAACATATACGATCGATCGCGTTATCAGTAGGAAAAACAAAAAAAAAAAAAAAAAAAAAGACACTACAGTAAAACCTGTTTTTCACGGACCGAAATAACACGCGCGCGTCGAGAATCTGTATTTTCAAGAGGAGGGTGTAATTTCGAATGCTGTTCTTAAGTTTATTGTATAACCTGTGCAAATAGTAGAATTACAAGAGCAAACTATGTACAAGTCGCTTGTAAAGCGAGTCACTGCGCAAATATCTACATTTCATGCAGAATAGTGTGCATACCTCATGCGTTATGCACTATCCTCGCATAACTTTCCATCGACAGCGGCTTGCGAGAGCGCGTGCGAGCTCCGTCTCGCGTATACATATATAAATTGCCATTCAGGAAACGTAATTATATCTCAACAAAAACGTAATTGCCAACCGTGTTCATTAATTTGTAACAGAAACTCGCCAAAGTAAACTCACGGGGTCTTGGAATCTTTCTCAAAGCAACACACACACACACACGTAAGTTTGATATAATACGCGTTTTGCACAAGCAAAAAACCAATAATAACATTTGAACCGCATTAGTGTCATTTTTTTACAACACTTCAGCTTCACTTTGTCAAAGTTTCAAGAGCAGTCTGATAATAGTAGTTGTATCGGACACACTATTATCAGGATATTATTATCAGACTGCTCTTGAAACCCCGATTAAGCTGAAATGTTCACGAAGCGTCGTTATAAAAATAACACTAACGCGGTTCTAACCCGAAAAATATCTTCGGGAAATATATTAAGTAACAATTTTGTTCTGGAAAACTATAAACGCGCAAAGAGAAGTCTGAATAAAATAAAAATAAAAGCGAACGGAACAATATTGAAACGAGAAAAATGATAGGGCAAAAAGAAACAAACAAAAGAATATTTCCAATTTGACTTGGGTGTTTATATAATGCGGTTTTATGTTACATACAATCGCTTTTGTGCGAATAAAGAAAAGAAATTCAAAGACCATCAACCACCCCGCGCGATATGTGTCGACGGGGAACTTACTTTTCAAGTGAGCCGAGCGACGGGCTCGAATGTGCACACGGTAGGATGCGCGCGCCCCGCCGTTTCGTAACCGCCGAACGTCCAGAAGTGATTTGTATCTTTCGTACGTAAACGCGCGCGAGGCGAAATCCAGCGTAAAAGGTCATCATTTCAGAATGCGCGGCGAAAATAAATCTTTCGCGCGAGAAACGGGAAAGTGCACGCGCGTGCATAGCGAGCGGGGATCGTATTTATCGGACGCGAGGGAAGTGTGTGTGTGTGTTAGGGATGTGTGTGCTATTGCGCGTCCTCGCCCACGTCCACACAAGCGAAACGACACGCAATTTGAGCATCTCCCTTTCTTTTTTTGCCGGACTGATCTTTCGTAAAAAAAAAAAAAAAAAAAAAAGAAAATTCATTCGAACATGTGTCAGACGAGCTGTTCGACTGAGAAAAAGAGAGAAAGAGAGCGCGAGAGAGAGAGATCCACACACTTTTGCATCGAGTGCGATAGAGCGTATATCTTTCGAAGTACATAAGATTACGAGAATCTCGTTTTGCCTCATGGACGAGATGAATCCAACTTGAACCGTCTGTACACACGCTCGCGCCAGTTTATCCACAAATAAAGGGATATATAATCCACGATAGCACGCTCCTACGTAGCTAACATCTAAACACGGAGACTCCGCTGCGACATCTACTATGTATATACAATATATATGTACACATACATATATATATATATATATATATATATATATGTACACACACCTATATATTGCGTCTATTTCTCGCATCGAGTCCGTGATGTCGTTGAGCGAACTCTCGTCTCCGCTCTCACAAACGGACACAATCTACCATCTACGTACATCCCACGGAATGCGGCCAAATTTACACGAATCCTATAGATCCTATACATGTATTGCGCGCAATATCGTCTGTTGTACGTACCCGTTTCTTGCCGTATTAATTTATATGTGGATTTTCGACAAAGCAAGCGTAGCTCGCTCTCTCTCTCTCCCGTTGCACTTGTGTCTGCACTTGGTTATTATGAAAATAATTACTGGAGTGTAATTATTCAGAGGAGAATTCACAAATGAGTATAATAATGTAAAAATGTAACGTTTAAACGTTTTGCAACTGCTAACGAGTACAAATAATAGGGAGAAGAGTAAATTGCACGCAAACGAGATAGGTCAAAAGAGTTGAAGTATCAGGCGCACAATAGCTGGCAGATTTGAGAGCTCGCAGACGTGTGTAGAGCAAGTTGCCTCCGCGACACAACGGAAACACTTTGAGTGCATTTAACCACCCTAACGAGTCCGTTTGAAGTAGTAACACAGCGTAAGCCGCGTCGTCGTCGTCGTCGTCGTCGTCGTTGCCAGTAACCGCGACGTGAAGAGAGCGCATCATCAAAATGTCGCTATATACGGACGTCTATTTCTCGTATTGAGTCCGTGACATTAAAGATGGGCGAACGCGTTCTCGCAAATGGCAGATCCGGCACAAGGGAGCTGCCGTTTTGCCTCGCAAGAGAGCGATCCTCCAACCCCGCGTTTCCGACGAGCTCTCTCTTCATCTTCCCTCTCCCCTCCCGCCTCGTCTTCTTTCTGCGCGAAGATATTCTTAGGACGCCGCCATTCAGATACTTGGAGGGCAAAAAGTAGAAGCTGTCAAGCTTTTCTTGAAGCGGACGCCAACCTTCCTCGCCGCCGCCGCCTCACCGCCGTTCGCCATTTGGCGTTCCCTTTCCGACGGCGTTCTCCACCCCCTCGACGACGATATATCGGCGTATCCGCGTCTTCTTGCGCGCCCGTGTGCGATGTGTGTTGTGTGTACTTTTTATTTATATTCATCTCACCACGCGTCCTGATTCCATCCCCCTCCGACGAACGAGAACGGAAACGAGGTCCGCGAGGGGGAGGGGGATAAATAAAGCCCGAAGGGAGAAAAGAAGAAATCCGGCGAAGATGACAAGTAATAATAACCGGGCGTCGGGAACGGGAAAAAATATCAACCGCTTCGTGTCGTTTGCGGCAAACGAAGCGGGCAACGAGCGAGCGTGTGTGTGTGTGTGTGGGTGGGTGGAAAGGTCCTCGTAGTGATTAATGAAATGCATTAACTCCTTCCCCGAGCACGAGGGGGAGAAAGAGAGAGAGACAGAGAAAAAGAGCTTGAGAAAACACCGCCGGCCGGGAGATCGCGCAACACAACCAACGTTTCACTCCTCCTCGGAGTGGCGAGCGCCGCGACTCTGCTATTGCTATTGATACATTCGCGCGCACAAGTGCGATTAAACGAAGCAATACGGTTTGTATTATGTATCGCGCGCGCGCGCGCGCGCGGATTGCCGAGGGAATTGCGCAACGGATATATCGGAATTATTGCGCGTTTTTCCCGCGCGTTTTCATTTTTGACAAAATTGAAAAGTGGATTTTTTTTCCAACAACGAATTATCATCGCGACGGTGAAAACTTGTTTTGGCCGCAACTTCTTAAAGAATGCAATCGATTTCTCTGCAATATTTGAGCTGTAAAATAAATTTCCGTAGTCGTAA